GCCGCGGGTTCCCAGCCCGGTGGGGGGGGGAGCGGCGGGGTGCGGGGGGGCAGCGGTGCTGGCGGGGGCAGATCTGCCTCGGCCGGAGCGCACGGGGAAACGATGTTGTTGGCAAAAGTGTGGGAAACTGCACGGTCTCCTTCCAGAGGGAACGTCCAGTTCCGAGCGCGGTGGGTTGAAGCTGAAATTCGGCAGAGGTGCGCTTTAGCTGTTAGTCTTGGGAAGCGTTGCCTCGCTAAACTCCTTTTGCACGGCTTGCAGCTTCTGTCGGGAACACAGATTTCTCTTGTGCGCTGGTGAGCTGGCAGTGACAGCCAGCAAGAGGAGGGCTTGGCTGCCGGTGACAGAGCGATGGAGAATTAAAACTCTTTTGTGCTGTGAAACGTTTTGATTTTTGCATCAAGCAGTCTGTACCGGGGGAGAATTTCCAGCACATGCGCTTTTTGTTGGCGTACCTTTGAGATCTGAACCAAATCTCATGTTTAATTATTAATTTCAGAATATTTCCGATCCATCTGGCAGAGGACGTGGTTGGAGGGGTGGCAATGACAGCGCTGCCGAACCAGCCTTTAACCTGGCGTCTATAAATCGCTGAAGCAGCTGTTAGTAAAACAATTGTGGCTAATTGTAGCCTGAGACAGCGTTCCCGCTGCGCTGCTTCGGGAGGTGGTGGGGCACATTAAACGGCAGCTTTGCAGCCCCCTGTGCTGCCGCTGACACCAACTCCTGGTGACAAGGTGAGAAGTGCCAGGACGCTTCCCCCCCTGCCGTTGGAAAGAGGGGGCCGTGGAGCCCCCCGGCGGGGCTGGGGGCTGCTCTCGGCGTTTTGCAGCCCGAGTTTTGCCTGTTTCTTGGGGCCGTCGGGAAGTGCGTCACCCGGCAAAGGCCAAGCTGCCGTGCGTTCTTGGGGGGGTGCGGAGCAGATGCCGGTCCCACGCAGGCAGCAGCCGGAGCAGTGCAGGTTTGGTGGGGAGGGGTGTGCTGAGGAGTGGGCACGGGTGGGGGGTCCCGGGGAGGCGGTGGTGGAAGGAGCAGGAGGGGACGGAGGGGGCTCTGACGGTGTCAGCGTCGCTGGGTGCCAGCAGCTGGGGAACCCCCGGGGTGGGGGCCGGGCAGCTGGGTTGGGATGGGCATGGAAATGGCAGGGAAATGGGAGCAGGAGGGTTGGGCAGAGGGGAGGGGGAACTGACTGGAGAGGCGTCCCGGGGGAAGAAAGGGGGTGAAGAGCTGGAGAGGTAAAGGGGAGATTGGGGTGCTGGGGACAGGGGAGAAGGGGGTTCTGGGGGTCCTGTGTGCCAGCCCCCTTGAGTTTGGCTCATCCACCGTGTGGGCAGGGGACGGGCAGCCGGTGCACGGCACGTCCATGTGAGCAGCGTGATGGGGTCGCAGAGCAGCACCCTCAGGGTGGAGGGATGGCAGGGAGTTACACCAAGGGTGTCCTTCCCCCAGCGTTGGGCACCCCGTGTCGGGAACCGATCCATGCAAGCACGGGGAGCCCGGGCTGGGGGAGCTGCGGGAGCTGAACTGTGTACCCTTTGGAATGCACGTCCTGAAGAAAGGGATACCTCCACTTTGGCATAGGGACCTCTCCATTTTCACCCTCAAATTATTAAAAAAATACAAGTTGTGCCTGCTCTAAAACCATCCTCCCCTGTCACACTCCCTTCATGTGACTTGGTTGTCTTCCCCCTGGCTCTTCCCAGGCTTCTCCCATGGCGGGCGATCCCTGTGCCCCCCCCCGAGGTCAGAGCAGGGCTGCTGCGTTACCTTGATAACACAGAGCGCACAGCGGGGTCTCTGGGGGCGGGGACAAGCCTGGGGACCCCCGATGTTCCTGCCATTCCTGGGCTGTGCTCAGAGTCCTGCGTCCAGAGGAGAGACGTGCTTTCCTTGGCAGCAGAGCCCAGCTTGTCCTGGAGATGGGGCAGCTCAACTCTGCTGAGGCAGACCTTGCAGGGAACTGGAGCTCCTGATGCTGAACTGGGGGGTTTCCCTCCCAGTTGAAGGCTGTGGCAGCTCGGCCATGCGCAGGGTGGGACAGCGGGTGGAGGAGGGACCCCTGGGTGGGCAGAGAGGGAGACTGTGGGCCACAGGGCTTTGTGCCTCTTTTTTTGGTGGAGTCGCTCTCTCCAGGGCAGTGAGGATGCCAGGACGGTGCCTGTGGGCTGCGTGACACTCGGTGCGGCTGTGCAGGGACAGCAATCGGAGCCCCAGCGCTGCCTCACCCCCTCCACGTGGGGAGCACGGTCTGTGCCAGCTCCTGCTCTGCCAGGCTGTGCGAGGATGGACCGGGACTGCTCCAAACTGGTGGCCCATGGAGACTGGCTGCCCTTGGGGAGGGAAGGAGGTCAGGGGCAGGAGGGTGCTGTTGGGCCTCGGGGCTGAAGCCTGGTCCCTGGCAGGGCTGGGGAGGCATGGCAGGGTACTGGGGGTCACGCCAGGGCTCCTGGGGGCCGGAGAGTACTGGAGCAGAGGCAGGCGTGCTGGCTGGTGGGCTGCAGGGGCTCTTGGGATCCACCATATATCTTTTTATGAATGGCCTCTGCCCACAAAGCAGGAGATGCTGCTGGTACTTGCTGAGGAGGTGGAGGTGAGAAGCATCACCGGTGGGTGGAGTTGCCCCACTGAGCAGAGACAGAGGAGAAGTGGGGCATGAGACTGTGATAATTGCACCAACGGTGAAACAGGAGCTGATCTTAAGGAGAAGACAGAGGAGAACAGTCTGGGCGAACTCGTCAGGGAGAGAGGGACGTGGAGTCACCACTCTTGAATCTGTCTAACAGTGCTGCGCTGGGCATGGGAGGACCTAGTAGAGGGTGGTGGCCCGTCGCATAGCTCCGGCAGTGACCGTGGGAGTCAAATTAGAGCAAATGTCCAGAAAAGTAAGAGAAATGGGAAGCCCTTGTCTTCCCATTTTCTCCTTGCCTAGAAGGACACTGGGAGTGTGATTGTGCCGGGGGGGCACAGGTGGCATGCTGGAGGGGTATGTGGTGGGCCAGGGTGGGTACGTACCTGGCTGGGATGGAGCCACAGGGCGATGCGTGGTGCGATGGGGGGGCTGGGAGATGGGGTTCACTGCTGGGTGCCATCGCACAGGGTGAGGAGGGAAATGAGGGCTGTGGGTCCTGGGGAGGTCCAGGAGTCGGTGGGCTGGGGAGGTGCCCTGTGGCCAAGGAGCAGAGCCCCGGCTGCCCACGGGATGGGCTGTGCTTTGCAGGACTCGCCGTAGGGCCGGCTGCCAGGCCGGTGCTTGGCTTTGTTTGTAGGGTGTGTCTGGAACGGGTCTGCTGCTGGGACTGCTCCTCTGCTCCCACCGCGCCTCGTGTTAAAGACAATATTGTGCATGTACAGAGAATTGGCAAGGAGGCAGCTCTGTGGTGGATAGGGGACGGTTTGGGGTCAAGGGTTGTTTTTTTCCACAGCGGGGACCAGAGTCAGAGCCAGCTCTTCCCCGCGAGCATGGAGAGTGCCACCAGAGCCTCCGGCTGCTCCCTCCTCTTGTGTTCCTGCTCGGGGAGCACAGCCTGCAGAGCCAGATCTTGCTGGTCCTCCCTGCTCTGCAGAGCAGGCAAGGCTGTTTGCAGACGAGCAGGTCTTCCAGGAGAAGTGGAGCTCCCTCATGTCCTCTGTTCCCTGGTGTGCATGGCATGGCATGCTGGTAGGTGAGGAACCAAGGAGCACAGGGCAGTGTGTGTCCAGGCTTATAGATTGGAAAGTTTTGCTTTCTTGTTTTTGAAGTTCTGTCCAGAGTAAAGAGTTTAGGTGGAAAACCAGCCGTGTGGGACTACCAGCCAGAATGTCTCATCTGAGCAGTAAGTCTGGTAGAAAAAGGCTGTTATTGTCCTTATACTGAGCAGGAAAGAACTGACTGTGATGTGCTCTGATATGGACTCTTCAGAGACATCCACGAAGGATGTCCCGAGAAGAAAGTGTTGAGTTCTTCAAATGGGAATGCCATAGCTGTGAGTCCAAAACTTATCTACAGTAACAGATAATGCTTCTGAAGGACATAGCTCTTCAGGCAGAAATAGGCTAATTTTTGCAGATGACAGAGCTGAGATGCAATAAAAAGAATAGTTTAGTGTTATGCAAGGGCAGTTAAAACACATCAACTCCTGCTGAGTGTGGAGCTGTAGGACATTGCCTTAGAAGACTTACACTACAAATGACTGAAAACTGGAAAAACAAAGCTGCCACAGAGAGGTGGAGAGGTCATGGACACAGCTGGACTCCCGGTCCTGTAAGAGCAGGGAGTCGCTGGCCAGCAATGGCCCTGAGCAGCCCTGGCAAGGGGCCGTGCTCAGTGCTGCAGAGGAAGGCAAAAAACCCCCGGGGACCTGTGCCAATCTGCCCGGGGGAAAAAATTCCTTCCTGACCCCAGAGCTGGCGATCGGCTGTTCCCTGAGCATGTGAGCAAGACCTGCCCCCCGGGGCTGCCCTGGCTCCAGCGACACCAGCACTGCCCGATCCCTTCCCTCCTTCCACTGGAGGCATCTCAGGGGCTTCCAAGCACGGACACCTGGGACAGGTTGCTTCCTCTGCCAGGTCTCTGCTATCTGACATTTCTACCTGTCTATTGAGTGCTGCATCTGGCAATGGAAGAGTTGTGAATGGGGAGCTCTGGGGTGGTCTCCAACTGCCAAGAATGGATTTTCTTGTTCTTTGCGGACCATTAATTCCCAGCCTTTTCACTGATAACCACCTGAAAAGGCCTGGTACCCTTGGGGACTCCCAGGTGTTAATGGGCCTTTTCATGTCATGAATGGCATTGGGTCCATTCTCCAAAGCTTAAAGCGGGGTTAAGGTTACATCAAGGTTGATATCTCACCTTGCTCAGAGCTGGAATTGCGTCAGATGACCACCAGAGACCTCTCCCAGCCTAAATTCCTCTGTGATCCTCTGGCTACACCACAGCTCTTCAGTGCAGGGCTCAGGCATGGCATTCAGCCTGTTGCTGCAAGGCTGCTGAAATGCAGCCTGTGATGCCTGTTATTATGCAAGGCTGTGGGACCTCCTCTGCAAGCCCCTGAGGCTGCCATCAGCTTCTCAACCTCTCCCAAGTGTCTTGGTGCCCTTGGGGTGAATGCTGGACATGCAGCACGTGCGGCGAGGAGACCTTTGAATGGCAGAGGAATGACATGGAGTTGCCTGAGCAGAAGGTGCAGAGCACGAGGTGCCATCCTGATGGGAGATAAAGGCCAGCGTGATCACAATCACAACCACAACTGCATCAGGGCTGCCATGTTGCCCTGCCTGCATTAAAAACTGCTGAGTGATGTCATGTCTCTTCATTAGACCCTTTATCTCACTCTTCTTGGGAAACAGGCATCCCAGGGGCCCATGCTGCCTGCCTTCTCCATTGTGGTTTTCTTCAGTTCTCCAAACTAAGAATCTCCTCCTTGACCTTGGGGCAGCTTTCTCCCTCATCCCGAGCGATTGGCTTCTTTTGGAGGTATCTCTTGCTGATCTCTGCTTAGAGATCCTGGTGTGTGTCCTAGAAGAGATCTTCCTCATCCTCACTCATGTGGACCTTGCCTTTGCTTTTCCTCCAGACTGGTGCTGTCAACGAAGAGACAGAAGTCATCTCCTTGGGAACAGAGCAGGTCCCAGATGTATCGCTTGCTCACCGTGAATTCCAGTGGCATCTCAGAAACCTCCTCAAGGATCTCCCAGGCGCTCTCCCAGGTTTCCTCCAGAGCTTTGTGCAGAGCACTCTTAAGTTCTGCTGTGGTGGATATCTGCATGTAGAGGACAAGCCTGCTGTTCCCTGCCAGCACGCAGGCTTTGAAGCCTGGTTTGCTGGACCCATGGCAGAGATCATGCAGGCATTTCCAGCTGTGGGAGGGAGCTCCCCAGCTGGAGCTAGCTTGGACTGCAAACTGGTATGTCTGGGAGATGCCCATGTCACTGGGCATGGCCCAGTGTTCAGGCGTGCCAGATTTCAGGCAGGCAACACAGAATTATCCACAGCAGCAAAACAAACGCTGACTGTGAGATGTTGCAGCTGGATAGGATGGACCTTGGTGTCCAGGTGATAAAATGATACAATAAACACAAACTGATGCTCAGGGGGGAAAGACTAATTTTACCTACATTGTACTATATGCCTATATTGCCACTTGGAAAGGATTTTGGCATCCTAGCAGGGCATTACATTAAAGCAGGAGCCTGGGGCTCAGCATCGAGCAGAGGGGTAAACACAGCACTAAAAAAAGCACTGTCAGCACCGTGCTGTCCCTCAAAAGTGGTGGAAGCTCTGGATCTTGGTCCATCCACGTGCTACTGAACCTGCAGGGAACCCAGGGAAGCGTCACCGTAGGCCTGCCTTGTTCTCAGCTGCTCATGGCACATAAGTGCTGTTGGCCACTGTCAGAGAGGTGGACATCTGGGTTGAGCTGCACAGTCCTTCTTCTGGTTTTGTATCCCTTACCTGCAGTGAAAACTTGGTGCTGCGATATTCCAGTTTTACTGCTGTGCGGGGGCAGTGCTTGAGATTAGTAGCACTGGATTGTTTTCTACATTTCTTCTGTTGGATTATTTCCCATGTTTCTTGTGTGCAGGAGCAGGGTGGTTTCTCTGGACGGGTGCTTTTGGGCAGTGCTCTCATTGGTTGACGCTGGAGCCCTGTTTTGCATGTTTCCCATTCACACTGGAGTTTCAGAGATGCAGTAGTATGTTCCTTGGCACCACAACAGTTGCCTCATATTTTGATACCACGCTCCTTGTTGCCCTCTCCGAGCAGATGCTGAAGGTGTTCCTGTACAGCTGTGAAGCACAGAGCATTGGGTTGTTCAGAGAACAAATTATGAGCTGGGTTACTGAGGCAAGGCATCAGCTGCCTGACCTTGTATAGGTCAGTGCATTATCCTTCAAGAGCTAGCAAGGTTTTACAGATGATCCTTGGTTCAGTCACATTGTGCTGGATATGACCTCATTTCCTTTTCCTAACAGAGAGGATCTGGATACTGCCAGTGGTGACACGATCCCATTATGTCTCATGATGGGTCTGGCAGGGCCGGCCGGTGCCTTTCTGCAGCCGGCTGTGTCTCAGCTAAGCCAGCCGGCAACCAGATGACTTCCCCTCCAGTAGTGTGAGCTGAAATCCTACCAAGAACCATTTTGCTTTTGCCTGTTTACCTCCAGTAGTGGAGTAGGGAGATCCAGAAAGGTGCACTGTGCTCTCCTCTGATCTTCTCTAGGTTGTGGGTGGCTCAGGCAATCAGAGCACAGTCTATGCCTCTGAAGGGGCCAGGGGGACCATCAGTGGGGAAATGAGATGTGAAGTGGGCCTGAGGGGATAGCTTCAGATTACCATCTTTAAGGTCCAAACAAAGCAAAGGCATCTAAGACAAATGGCAGGGACAGGAGCTGTGACATTCCCCCCAAATCCCTTGTAAAACCAGCCAGACCAGCTGGAAACCAGTCCTATGGCCATTGGACTGTGCATCAGCATCTCTGTGGGGTTTGAAGAAGATCGAGGCATTCTCTGGTGAGGCACATTTGGGAGTCACCCTTCGGTGACTGCCTCCCAGGGTGGCTGGGGGTCACTGCCGTCTCTCTGACGTGCGCAGCATCCAGCTCTGATGCTGCCCAGGCACTGCCTGCCTGGAGAGTGACCCCATCACGGCGTCCACATCCTGCTGCAGGAAGCCCACAGCAAACGCTGCTCCGGGTTAGCACAGGTTTGCTTTGCTCAGGAGTGGGCTGTGGGAATCGGCTATTGTAGACCTTGGGGTTGGCTGGTTGCCTTCCAGAAGAAAGCCCAGCCTCTCTGCAGGTGACAGTACCTTTGTTTCAGCTTTCTCTTCACTCTCCATTTTGTGCCTCATGTTGTTGTCTCTCACCTTCTGCTCACAGTAGCATCATTTGGTTTAAACTCATTTAGGTGCAGTTTTATTTTCCCTTCTGGCTTGATGCTTCCAGCACAGGAAGGACATGAAGCTGCTGGAGTGGGCCCAGAGGAGGCCACAGAGATGCTGGGAGGGCTGGTGCCCCTCTGCTGGGAGGACAGGCTGAGAGAGTTGGGGCGGTTCAGCCTGGAGAAGAGAAGGCTCCAGGGAGACCTTGAGCCCCTTCCAGTCCCTAAAGGGGCTCCAGGAGAGATGGGGAGGGACTCTTGATCAGGGAGGGGAGCCATAGGACAAGGGGGAAGGGTTTGACACTGAAAGAGGGGAGATTTAGGTGAGAAGAACTTGTTTGGTGTGAGGGTGGTGAGAGCCTGGCCCAGGTCGCCCAGAGAAGCTGTGGCTGCCCGATCCCTGGAGGGGTTCAAGGCCAGGTTGGAGGGGGCTTGGAGCAACCTGGTGTGGTGGGAGGTGTCCCTGCCCAGGGCAGGGGTGGCACTGGATGGGCTTTAGGATCCCTTCCAACCCAAACCCTTCCATGATTCTATGATGAGGATGTCCTGGATGTCCCCCCCACCTCATCCCCTGTCACCTGCTCCTCTATGGTCCTCATCTTCTGCCTCCGTTCTTTACCAACCTTTGCATGGTATTTTATTATATGTTTTACTCTAAATCATTGTCCTGAATCGCTGATACGTCAATGACTCCAGACTCTCTTTCTCTGATACAAAGTAATTTTCTGTTTCTTCCTGCCACTTTTGGCAAAGGAACATACAGCAGTTACTGAATATGACTTCTCCATTGCGTTTTTCCCCAGAGTTCCCAAATCCTCCTCTGCATTTGTGCACCTTCTATTGGGGCATTTTTTTCCCATTTATGATTGCATAAATATTGGCATGCTGCTTGCCTTGGATGCTCTTGCTGTTACAAGAAGAGCTCTTGGTTCTTCTGTGTTCCATTTAATGTTCCCCTTTTGCAATGAGTTTGTTCGGTGGGTCCACACATATCTGCTCTTTGTAGTCTGCAGCCCAGCTTGTGTGCGTTTTGTCCTGGTAATGGTCTGTCCCAAACCGGTACCCTCAGTGCCCAGCATCAAATGGCACATGTCTTCTTTGCACTTGTCTTAATAATATGAAAAATTGGGGGTTGATGCAAAATGGCCCAATATTGAAAACCTGTTCTCAAATCAATAATTGTTTCAAAGTGAACGGGATTTCTGCAGGAATAAGCATTACTGGAAAGGGGGAACTTACAGGAGTGGGCAATAAAGTAGTTTTCTTTTTTGCATTACGTGATAGTAAAAAAGAAAAAGCTGGCTGAAATGTATTTATGGTTTAATCATTGTATTTGGGCTGTGACCTATTGTGCTTCGTGATTTAATTCCCAAAGGCAGGGCTTTGGAGAGTTATTAAAGTCTAACCATAAATGATATGGGGGATTTTTGTAATTTTAAACATTGAAAGGATGATTGAATTTATAAACTTCATAACTGTACGTACCGGCACCTCCCAGCACGGTGACCCCAGTGTCACTTTTTCCCCATGTCACCGGGGTCACCGGGGCTGCCCGGGGCCGGGTGCGAGGTGTCCCCGTGCTCTGTGCCCGCCTCGCGCTCCCGCCTGCAGCGGTGGCGCAGGCACAGCGCTGCTCGCCGCCTTCCCTTCCCCTCCCTGCAGCACCCGCTGCCGCTTCTCACACGGCTTTTCTGCCCAACGCAGGTGGTGAACGACGCCCAGAGCCCGGGACGGAGCCAGCAGTGGGTTTATCATGCGAGGATGTGCCCGCGCCCTCGCTGACCTGCTCGCCATCCCCATCCCTGCTGCCTGTCCCGGCCGGCGCCATGGGAGGATGCTTCTCCAAGCCCAAACCAGGTGACTGCCCTCCGGCGCCATGCCCCCGTGGCACCGAGCCCCCATCCTGCTGGCCCCGTGGGGAGAAGTAGGTCAGCAGTGGCCGGGGGAATGTTAATTCTCGGCTCCCGCAGGGAGGATTACCGGCCCGTTAATCCCCCCAAATTCCTCGGTGCTCGGGCTCCCAGGTGGGGAGCTGTGCGGGGGCTGCAGCAGTGGGGG